ATAATATAATTAAGTATATAATTATAATTTAACTTTTTGTAGACTTGTAGATTTCATATATGAAGTATATTTATAACAGAATACAAATTATCTTGAAAATATATATATATATATATATATATATATATATATATATATATATATATATATATATATATATATATATATATATATATATACACAGGGGCCCAGGAAATTATTTGGGGACATCTGATTTTTTGGAAAAATCTTTAACAGGGCTGTCCCAAAGGATGGAGGGAGGGGGGTTGTGGTGTCCCTCACCACCCACCCCCTCCCCCTAAAGATAACATACAAGCATTTGAGTTAGCACATTGAGCAAGTTTTGAACTATAGTTTGGCATATTGGAAATATTGAGGACCTTTTTTTTTTTTTTTTTACTTTTTGGTGCCTCTAGTTGTTAGTTGAAAAGCAAAAAAAATACATGGAAGACCATCTTCGGTTAATCTATCAAGATTAACCGAGATCTATTATTAAAAGAGGTCTATTAAGTTAATCTAATAAGAGCCTTTCTTCAATCAAAAATATGCAAGGTTATCACCGGGGCACTTTACTTTTAGATTATAAAATTATATATTTACACATTATTTACAGATCTATTATTAAAAACTATATTTTTACATTACCATTAATAAAATAAATTACACAATGCAAAATTTTATATTTATATTTTAACAAATATATTATAAAATAGCACAAATTATAATAAAATATTTGTATATTAAATATGCAATTTTAAATTATATAAAGAGGTATTTAGAGATGCATTCTTAATGCCACATTTTGTTAAAAAAAAAAAAAAAATTTAAACATTCATTTTAATAAATCTTGCTGATAAATATATAAAAACTGAAAAAAATCAATTATAAAAACAAAAGCATTTGCCAATTATAACAAATACAACTTAGCATTTTATATATAAAAATGATAACACCAAATCGGTGTTATTATTGCTTGGCACTATACCAGGGTGCTTAACATATTTATTCTGGCGCAAAAATGAATAATATGTCCACTCACATTCACATGAAGTTAGTTGAAAAGTAGCATCTAAGTTTTTAATGTTTTTACAACCAGGAAAATTTATCACTTTTAACAGCTCAGTAATATTAGTATTGAAACTACCTTTTTAAATTTAACTAAAATGCTTCACATAAATGAGGCTCACAAGATTAAAGCATGGGAATTCAGTAGATCTGTTTCATAAAATTCACTAAAAGATATAATTGACCTTCTGAAATCATTTTTGTAGGAACTAGCACTAAGTTTTTGAAAACTATCCAAAAAAAAAGTAAATCTTTTTCACCCAACATGTTCAATATGGAACGGTACTTTAAATATGCTCCTCTAAAATTTGTTGCCTGATATGTACAAGTTTAAAAAGTATGATACCTCATTAAAGTGTGCCAAAAATGATACTTGTCATATTGCAAAACATGACATAGTGTAAAAAGATACTTGACATATTGCACTTTGTATGAAGCACAAATAACTAAATTAAGTCTATGATTGTTGCAATGAGCATATGCAGCTTTTTCATTTAGATTTAAAATACAAGACGACAAATCTTTAGTGTGACCATCAATTGCTCTAGCACCACCATATCACAATTCATGATATATAAAAAGGAATCCAAAATATTTTTTACCAAAAAATAAAATATTCCGTACTAGTAACACCATTTGTGCAATCTAAGAAACTGATAAATTCTCTTATTGAACTTTGAACCAACAAATCATATAAATAAAAGTAGTTGTTCTCTACTTTAATTGTCAGAAGCTTCATCAGAAAAATGTTTAAAATTTTTAAACTATTTTGTTATTAACTTCTCTGAAACACTTTTTGGGCATATATTATGTAAGAAGCGTTTTTTGTTGATAATATCTAAGCTGATCTTGAAGAATTTTATCACTAACATAAACACGGATATGTTGCAAACACTTGATTTATTAAGAAAACTTCGTATATTTACAGACATTTCAAATATCACAATAAACTTTAAATATTTCAGGGTGAAAGTAGGAAGGTACGTCCGACAGTGTTTTTTCATAAATAAAATCGATTACTTAAAATTTAAGTATTGAAAACTAAACTAAATAAAAAGCTCAATCACAACAAAAATGTTAATGTTATAATGATATATAAGTTAATGTTATAATGGAATATAACTATAAATACTGTTATATAAATAAAAAATGTTAATGTTATAATGGTATATAATTATAAATACATGGTACGTCCATTGTTTTATTTTGATATGTAGTAACTATTAAAATATATTTCACCTCCTGATTATCTCTAAACAATGGGTTTTAACTAAGATATTACTTAGGGTGTACTGCTTAGAGTACGTCAAAAAAATTTTATAAGTAAAGAAATTGATATTTTGCTTTAACAAAATAAATAAAAATTTAAAAACTTTTTTTATCGTTTAACAAAATAACATTGGGTACGTCCATTGACTCTTCTAATTAAATATTATTTATTTATTATTACTTTAACCTCCAGTTAAAAAAGACTTTTTTATTTACCGCTCTAAACAAAAAGCAACTTTAATTACTCTAAACAAGAAGCAAATTTTTTTTTTTTAATAACTGTTTGTATAAAGGTAATAAAACTTAACTCAGCTTTGAAAAGTTTGATTTTTAGTCCTTTTAAATGTTTCTAATGACATTGCATCACACGTTTTTTGAATTAAATAGTTCCAAGTTTGTGGTGCAGATGTGTAAAAAGATTTTGTACCAAGCAATGTTCTTGCTCGATGACGTACAAGTTGGCAACTGTCTGACGATCTTGTGTTGGGGAGCTGGGAGGTTTGAATTTTTAAGAGATCGAAAAGGTATGCAGGAGACTTGATTGATATGGTTTTATAAGTTTACAGACATTTTGTAAATTATTCTTTGATGTATTAGTAACCAATGGAGCAATTGGAGCAAATTTTCAATTGGAGCAATTGGAGCAAATGTATATATATGTATATAATATAATATAATATATTATATACATATATATATATATATTATATTATATTATATACAGTTCTGTTCTGGGAGTTCGTTAAGTTCTAAGTATACGCAAACATCTTCTGCACTCCAGTTCAAACAATCTTCCATTTTTTAAATTTTAACAAATAATATGTTTATTAATCTAAAAAAAACCATTCACAATATACAATGATATATTTATTTATAATATGCATGATAAACTGCTCAAATAAAAAATATGTTGCTTTAATAATCTGTTATTATACCATTCATTATAAATTCATACTGGTCTACCTATATAACAACTGATTAGAAAAATTAAATGGCGTTTTCAAAAGGTTTAAAGAACCCTAAATTAAGGTTTTCTGTAAAACGATTTGAAGAACCTTATGGGTTCTTTGTATTGCTTTGTAAATAAGCTGCCGGTTCTTCAGAGAACCATTAGAGAATATTAAGAACCCGTAGGTTCTTTAAAGAACCTTAAATTTTCTCCAAGAACTTTTAGTTTCTTTAAAGAACCGTGAAGAACCTTTTAGATTTACATTGTACTACTTTATTAGAAAAAGAAGAAAAAAAAACAAAGAATGATGAATGAAACGACTGCTGCCCTATCCCAAACCCTCAGTCAATGTAGCAGCACTACACTGCGAGTCAAGCTATTTGTCAGTCGATGTATGTACTGAAGCCCCCAGCAGCAGGCTATTTCAGTATGGCGTCAGATTGCTAACCTTAGTACGCAATACTATTTGTATATATATATATATATATATATATATATATATATATATATATATATATATATATATATATATATATATATATATATATATACATTTATATATTATATATATGAATGCATATGATGCTTATAAAAGCCAAGATGTAGAGACTATAGATCACTGTAGATGTAGAACTACAGATGACAGAAACTGTAGATGACTGTAAAGACTGTAGATGACTGTAGATGTAGGATATATATATATATATATATATATATATATATATATATAAAATATATATATATATAAATATATATAAAATATATATATATATATATATATATATACTCACACATTTATATACTAATATACTTATATATATGTATACATTTATAGCTTTTTAAAAATGTGGCAGAACGTGGAAAGTGGTCCACAATGTTTATGGACGCATATGATGCTTATAAAAGCGGAGATGTAGAGACTGCATTGTTAAAGTACTACTTCTTAGCAGAACTTGGATATGAAGTTGCTCAAAGCAATGTGGCATACATACTAGACAAAGGTTTCTGTAGAATCTCTTTAATTGATCATTTTTTGTTCATATTATATTAAGTTAAAGTATTTTATATATATTCTATTACTTTCATTATAATTAGTCAATGAATTAAACTATACACTATACACTTTTTTTTCTCGTGACTTTTTCATATTTTTTTAAAAATATATTTTATAATGAGTGAGTGTAAATATAGTTAAAATAACATTAATAAAATTAAGTTTCACATCTTTAACTCCCAACACTTCCAACACCAAAACCACCAACAAATAGACTTTACCACAACCTGTCCCGAAATGTTTCAACATTTACAAGTTTTTGTATTTTGTTCTTAAATGTCATGTTTTGTGTTACACCATAAACTTCTGCTATTCTCTTAGTCAAACATTAAATGTTTCTACTCAATGTAATCAATTCGTTTCTCCGCACAGCAGCCTTGTTTGTCAAGGTTCGTGTTTCGGGGTTATAGAGTTGAGAGAGGGTTATAACCGCAAATAAGTAGCCTCCTCGTCTGTAGTGGCCTTCTCGGCCTTGAGGAGGTGAATTAAAATATATATATATATATAACAGTTTTTTTTTTTTATATAACCTTTTTTTTTTGATTGTTTTATAAACAGGTCGTAAATATATATCACTCCCTGGCATTAACAATGATCTACATGACTTAGTGTGTTTGACTTTTTTGAAATTTCTAGATTTCTAAAAATAATTTAAAAATTTGTAGCTATTATTAATACATTGGCACCATCACCACCATATTGTTTCAATCATTTAAATATATTTATGATTTTTGATAAAGTTTTTCACCTAGTGAATCTTAACTCTCGTTGGAAAAATAAAATTTGTTTTTCTAAACCTTGGAAACTATGGACCTTGGAACCTTATGACTTATCAAGCATTTACTATGTAAAGTTAAAATTAACTTGCGAAATAGCAAGGTTGTGAAGTAGCAATTTAAAAAAATGTACTGCCTCTAATGTAATACGTTTCCTGCAAAAAAAATTATAAATGAGTTGGAAAAAAAGGTTTTCTAAAATCTCACTATAAAAACATGCAAACATGAAGTATGTAAATCATTCAAAATATTGTAAACATTTCATCAAATTTTGAATAATCTTATTTTAACTAAATTTTTGTTAGTTTTCTTTTCAATCATTATAAAATGGGTTTTGGTGATAATAATTACAGAGTGTTGAAAACTCATGGAAGTCATTAGAAAAACCAAGAAAAATAGAGAACCAAGGAATTAAAAAATTGTTAGGAAATTGTTGTGTTTCACAATCAGTCTTTGCTTCACAATCAAAAACAATAACAGTTACTTTTAAAAGTTAACCTCTGCCATCTAAAATTACATTAGGTAAAGATTTTTTTAACATTTAAAGTTTAATGTTACAAACAATAAATACTATAACTCCAAGATGCTTTGTAAAAAAATATGAAATAGGCAAAGGAATTTTATATATACTATAAATGATTTTAATATATACTATAAATAATACTTCAAAACTTAAAAATGGTTAACAGGTTAGCAATTGATATCAGTAATCACCTGAGTAAGAAAATGTTCAACTATGTATTCAAATAAAGTGGGGTTTAAGTATACCGGTCACCGCTAGAACAAGTCATGAGTTTAGATCAAAAAGCAGAGAATCTAAATCAAATTTTAAAAATGGTGAACAATAAACTGCAAGGTTTTGTATAAAAGATAATTTGAATAAGTTTAAAGAAGAAAACTTAAAAAAGATTTATGATTAAAAAGATTAAAGATCTTGTGTAAAATAAAATTTTAAAGATTTTCTAATTAAACATTTTTAATAAAAATGTTTTAAAGAGTTTTAATAGAATATTTATAAGTTTTTTACATTTTAAATATTTTTTTCATAGTGGTGATTTTTAAATTTTGTTTGACAATTTTTGACTTGGTATTCAAAAAATAAATCTAATAAACAAATCGTAAATCAACTTTTATGTGACCATGGTTAAAAACTGTCAAGTTACATGTTATGTAGAGAAATATAATTGCTACATAAAATAATGGTGGTTACTGTGCTTACCAACATTTGTGTTGAGCAAACACAACAAAGTCTTCATAATTTTTTTCTACTAAGGTGAATAGAATTAAATCTACTATTTCATTAGCCACTCTCTTTAACAATGAACTTCTATTAATTTACTTTAATTAATTAGAGGAATGAACTGTTGTTGTGGTTTTCTGTTTCATTAAAAATAATGTGAATTTTAAGTGTCTCTGGTTAAGTGCCTTTTTCTCTTTTTCTCAACGTATGCTCACCAAACTGTAATTTTCATTGGAAAAATCAATGATGTATTGATTGAAAAGAAAAAATTATCCTGTTTTATATGACTTTTTTTAAAAAAATTTGCTGTTAACATTAAAAAATTTGCTGTTAACATTGAAAAATTAATTTAAACTATGATCTTGCACCAATTACAAAAAATTAAGCAACAAAATTACAAATTAAGCAACAAAATTACAAATTAATTAAGCAACTTCTGCATAGAGCAAATGGAAAACAAAATTTAGATACCAAATAGTTATATAAATATTTGTAAATAAATAAAGGGTATAGAGAACTTTATTTAAAATCTTTTTTATTTTTTTAGATAATATTGAAATGTTTGATAAGAACCAAACATATGTTCGCGCCCTTTTACAATGGTCACGTGCAGCACAACAAGGTATTAATTTAAAAGTGTTGATTGTACAAAAGTAATAAAGATGTCGTAAAAACTAAAATGGTGATAAGTATATTTAAAATACAAAATAAAACTAATAAAATCAAAAATAATAACAGTAGAAGATAAATAAATAAAATATCATATTATATTAATATCAAGCAATTAATCAATACTGTGATAAAATCACAGTAATATAAGTAAATTCAAGCAACAAATGCAAGTAAATATAAATACCAAACAATAGATCTATACAGGTGCACTGTCAAAAAGTAAAATTAAATAGTCAAAAAAGTAAATTTAAATTTAAAAACATTTCTTTTTTAAAACATATTTAAGTTTACATTTAAAAAGTATTAGTAAATTATTGCAAAGTATTATGTACAGTGCACAATAAAATATTTTATAAAAATATCTCAGCTACAATTTTTGTTACCTTTCTTATTTTTAATGCTAAATCCAGACTTCTTTTTAAAAAATCTTAATAAGTACAATAACACACACACACACACACACACACACAGCCACAGCCACACACACACACACACACAGCCACAGCCACAGCCACACATTCATGCACACACAATTACACACATATATATATATAATATTAATTAAATTGATTTTATTTAATTATAAATAATATATAATAGAATTGAAAAATAAAAATAATCAGTTAAAAATAATACTTCATGTTGACTTAGGCTAAAAAAAAATTAAAATTATTATTTATTTTTATTTCAAAATAATGAATAATTTAAAACAGAAGAAAAGAATGAAAGGAAGGATATTGTCCTTCTAAAATCATTTACAATATATATTACAAAATGTCACAATCAGTCAAAACAAAATTGTTATATTTAATTAATCATATTTAAGTTAAGTTTAGAAAGGAAAAAATTACATTTTTTATATCCATATACTTAGTATAACCCTTCCCCTTTCCTCCCTTCCCCCCTCCCCCCCCCCTCTATGTTATAATATAGTAACAATGCTCGAACAGGTCAATACTACTGGTCACACTGTCACAAATTATATGTGGTTTTAGTTTCTTTTGTTATATTAAAGGATATGCTGTAGCAAGAGTCAAAGTTGGTGACTATCATTATTATGGCTTGGGTACAAAAGTTGATTATGAGGCTGCTGCTCAACATTACAAGTTGGCTAGCGACCAACAAAACAATCCCCAGGCTATGTTTAATCTTGGTTATATGCATGAACAAGGTTTAGGACTTAAGCAGGTAAATTAGATAGCCACTTTTTTTTATTTTATTTTATATTTTTTGATTTTAGAAAAATTTTTAAATAATATTCATTATTTAACTGTGCTATTTTAATTTAGGATATGCACTTAGCAAAACGATTTTATGACATGGCAGCACTCGCTAGTCCAGATGCACAGATTCCTGTCTATTTAGCTTTATGTAAATTGACTATAATATTCACATGGGAAAATATTCAACTTGTGAGTTATTTTATTATTTTTCTGAAAAAGTTAATTTTTATATATCATTTGTGAAAAAGTTACCACATATCTGAAAAAATGTGATTTTGGTGTTTCAATGCTTTTGAACTGTAATTTACCATATGCATCCCTGTAATTCAAATGCATTGGAAACCAATGGAAATTCATTTTTTTATCCCATGACACAAAACTCACAAATCATTTGATGGTGGTCAAGACATATCTCAATGTTTGATTAAATTTAGTTTAATTAAGTATTTAAATTTTAATTGAAGACGGGTAAAAATAGTAATGTTGATTGAAACTTAAATTTTTGTAATTGTGAGTTTACAGTCATAACACCAGTTTAGATTTTTGATTCTCCTGAAAACTTCAATTTTTTAAGGTATGTGGTAATGACTTTTCACCAACAATATACATATATATATATATATATATATATATATATATATATATATATATATATATATATATATATATATATATATATATATATATATATATATATATATAAATTATATATATATATATATATAAATTTATAATTTTTTTTACAAAGTTTAAAAGATTTAATGTGCATTAAAAAAAGTTACAGTAATGTTATTTTAAATAGCTAATACATTTGAATGTGACTAATATACTATGCAATTCTGAACTAAATAGTTAAACATATATATATATATATATATATATATATATATATATATATATATATATATATATATATATATAATATATATATATATATATATATATTTATATATATATAAAACGGGTTATGAATAAGTTTTTGGACTGGAGTTAATGTTAAGTTATCTCTGCAAAGAAATGTACAAAGAAGTTCATAATAATCTTATTTTGAAATTGTCCAACTCCTACTCATTCAAGTTTAGTCTTTAAAGTCTTGAATATGTTTAAAATCTCTAACATCATTGTTAATATATGTTTAAGAGCAAAATGGATCTTGATTTTATACAAAATCATATTTTGGGTTTTACAGGATCATCTTTTTTCCATATATTTTCGGAATTCCGGATATTTTTCTTAACTTTAGTGTTTCTGGATATCCAAAACGTTTTCCATACTTACAAGTTTAGGTATATATTTTTTTAATATTTTTAACTTCTTTTTTAAGTTTTTTCAGTCATCACTCATACAAAACTAAGAAATGTTTGAAAAAAAGTAAGAAACAATTCAGCAAAAAGAAAAGTTAAGAGAAAAATATGTTTTGGATTTTTTCCGGATATTTTAAATAAACAATTTTCCAGATTTTTAAAATATGATCTAGATGATCTATGGTGTTAGGGAAAGACTTGACCATATAAGAAGACATAGTAAATATATATATTTTTTATCTTTAAGTACTAAAAAAAAAACATTTTTTTATTATTAATTTTAAGTTTAGTGTTTTAAATAAAAAATTTTGTTTCAAAAATAAGACTTCTATTCCAGTCCAAAAATTTATTTATAACCCGTTTTTTATATATATATGCATTTATGTATGTATGTAAATATTATGAACATGTATTGTTACACCTATATAGTTAGACAATCCTTATTAGGGTGTCCCAGAAAAAAAGAAATTCGGTAAAGTATTTAATAATAATGAGGCAATTGCTTGGATTATTAAATAGTGTACTGAGATCTCTCCTTCTAGTCAAGTTCTTTAAAAAATTTAAATGACTAAAGTACCAAAAACTTTAAAACACAAAAAACCATTGTCATCACCAAGTTCTCTCAACCTATTATTCACTAATGTTCGTGGTCTTCGAAGTAATTTTTCTTCTGTTGAGTCTTATCACTTGCAAAGTTCACCAGACCTACTTGCTCTTTGTGAGACTAATTTGAGTTCTTGGCCTTGGCCTTGGTCTTGAAAATTTTGGCTTTGGCCTAGATTGTTTTGGCCTTGGCCTTAAAAATAAATACATATTTATTATTGATTTTGTTGAGTTCTACTTAACGTATTGCAAAAATTGAAGTCTTAAGTCTTAAAAATCTTTGCGCACCTCTTGGCCTTGAACTCAAAATTCATGGCCTTGTCCTTGGCCTTGTAACTTTTGGCCTAGGCCTTGCTTCTTTTGGCTTTGTTTACAACTCTGATCTAAGGTAACATTGTTTGCTGATAACACTACCATTTATTCTTGTCATGATAAGAAGTCAACACTCTCTGATTGCTTGAAGGGGGCATCTGAGCTTGAAAATGATCTCACTCCTGCTACAGCATGGAGTACAGAACTTTAATTCAGATAAAACTCAATTTTTTTCTGGCAATCGTTATCGCAATAATTTAGATCTTCATATATTTATGAACGGTAATGTACTCGATGAGTCATCTACCCTTTATCTTCTAGGATTAACTCTACTTCCGATTTTTTTTGGAAACCGTATATGGACACTGCTCTAAAAACTTAGCGTCTCTTGTGCCATCTACTAAAATTCATTCTCGTGTTCATTCAATTAAGTCTCATCCTTTTTCTGTGACTGTTCCTAAATGCTCCAAAAACTCTTATTCGTCTAGTTTTTTTCTTTGAACATCAGTTTTTTAGAATTCGTTTCCTTCATCTTGCTTTCCTGATTCATATAATTTGCAATCTTTTAAGTTGTCTGTCAATCGTTATCTTGCTCTGCAAACTTCATCTTTGCTCTTCCAGTAACTTCCAGCTCTTATAGTGGTTGCTTGCAGCCTTGTTGTTTCAGTATCACGCCGTAAAAATGTATGGGTTCTAAGGCATTGTTATGTTGAAGGTGTTTTAGAAAAAATTTTCATATAGATAGCAATGAGATTTCGAAATATTTTTATATTTTATGATTGAAACTCTTGATTATTTTTTAAAATATTACCTGTTATTCAATATTTTTATGAAATAATCAAGTTAAGTTGAAGTAAATTGTCCAATACACCAATTTTGACCAAATGTTTGCTCAATGTAACTTTGATATTTTTAAAACACCCTCAGCAAAATATTGTCTAAAAGACCAGATATTATGGATTGCCATAATGCACAAATTTGTTTTCAATTTTTTTTTTTTGGGATGCCATAATCCTTAGGTATATAGCATAATTTTCTGTAAAAAAAAAAAATTTTAGTTTTTTTTTTAATTATCGATTTTTTGTAACTTTAGAAATATAATATGTTGAAGGGAATGGATTTTACTGCAGAATTTAATCGAATTTTGGTAGCTACTGTTCAAATGCTTGGTTCAGACTGGGACGTATATCTTATAACTATTTTAGTTGGTCTGCTTGCTGCAATTGTTTTATTTCGACGTGCTTATTTCCATTAAATTGTTATTAACATAACTTATACAAAATTATTTATACGAATGGTGTTTGTATCATTTATAAAAGTAGAAGACCATTAATAAATTTTCTTATTATAAGTTATTTTTTCGGTCATAAAAAATGACTTGAACTAAGACGCTGTCGTCGCTTGTATTGAAACAGTATGCAATTTAGTGCAATATATACAAAATAATACTTAACTAGATAACATCGACAATACAGTCTAGCGAGTTCTCAGTCCGGGTTATAAATAATTTTTTTTTTTTTATTAACCTCCCCTAGACCGAAAGGGCCACTGCAGTCAAAGAGGCTACTCTATTGTGATTACAACCCTCTCTCAACTCTTTAACTCCGAAACACGAACCTTGACCAACGAAGTCATTGCGCGGAAAAATAAGTTGATTTGGCAAGCTCATAAGTATTCAAGTCCTCAGTGTTTGACTTACCAATGATTGCCAGCTACTTGGCCAAAAGGTATATTGGTGGGTTCCCGATGGGAAAAATACCAACCTGCGTTGGTATCTTTTCAAAGGTTGGGTACTATTATCCGTAACAGTTAAGTTTTGGGCAAATTAACGCTTTATGTTATTGTTCGTAAATATAAAGGAGTAGGTATCAAGTTGGGGGGGGTCTCCTCTAATTCCCTAAATTGTCGCCGAATCTATAAAATATTCTAATTTGCTCACATAAGGTACAAAAAGGTTCCAATTGCCAACTAATGGTATAAAAATTCATTGATCATCGGGGCTGTTACCCCCACCCCCATTAGGGCCGACCATATAGACATGATAGATACAAACCCGTGTTTCCTTGTTAACCTTGCAATAAATCAAAATGGGTTTTATTTCATTCGAATCCAAAAAGCGATTTCTCCCATCAAAATTACCTCGAATCTTTATCGATCAAAAGGAAATAAAAAGAGATTTTGTTACAAAATTTTTAGGTGTTTATCTTAATGAAAACATTATTTGGAATCACCATATTGATTGTATAAGCACACAACTTTCTAAAAACATAGCATCCGATATAAATCACGAACCTATCTCAATAAGAAAGTCTTAATCCAACTTTATTATTCATTTATACATAGTTATTTAAATTATGCCAATATTGCTTGGGGAAGTACAGAAAAAAGTAAGTTGCAACGTCTTTATCTCCGTCATAAACGCGCAATCCGTATAATCAATTTTGCAAATTGCTTTCCTCATTCGAAGCATTATTTTATTGAAATTAGAATTCTGATTATTTACAAGTTGAATGTATTTAATATTTTATGTTTTGTATATATGTGGATAAATAATTTAAATAAATTATCCCTACCCGTCTTCAAAGATCTTTTCTCTTTTAAACCAGCCAGTAAATATATTTTGAGAAATAATAACTTTTTAAATGAACCTTTTTGTCAAACAAACTTTAATCAATTTTGCATTACCTATCGAGCACCTCACCTTTAGAATAAAATTGTTTTGGCGAATTTTAATTTTGAAGTACCTATTACTTTTTGCCTTTTTAAAAAAAAACTGAAAAACCTCATTCTTTCTTTAGATAATATATTGAGTTATTATTAGTAGTAAAAGTTAAAAATATATTTCTACTTTTTTTTATTGTTTATGCACATGTTTATGTTTATAGAAGTTTATTCCTACTTTTTACTTTTTAATTTATATGTTGGTTTACTCTTGTATGAAAATCTGATGAGAAGATCCTCTTGATCTTTCTTCAGACACAGATTGTTTGCCTTGCTATTTTGTAATAGTTTATTAATTTTTTTTATCTTATCTTTGTTAAATGCATTTTTAAGGTTCTAACGACAAGGTCCTTGCGACCTTCTTTCAAATACCTTGCTTATGTTAGTTATGTTTTATGTCATTGTAAGTTTATATTATTATTTTTATTATGGGTTATTTAAAGCTGTACAACGATTAACAAATGTAAACCAAAAAAAAAAAAACTCGTGTTTCACATTTTGACTGTTTACACACACAGGAAAACACTGCAAAACATCTTCTGGAGCTGGTGGAATAAGCATCCATTCAACCTCAAGTTGATCGCCAATTTCTCGCCATCCATATCCATGGGGTTTCGGAATATTGAGATTTGCCTCAAGTGATTGTTTGATAATTGCTGTTATGTAAGAAACTCTCTTGCATTCACACATTGAGCATCCTTAGGAGATGGAAGCTTTTGGCGTTCTAGAGCTTTTTTCTTGGCAATATCCCATAAAATGCACTAGTGTAATCATTCCCTCTAAATGCACGAAGAGCGAAAAGAGCTTTTCAACAGTCAGTACCTAACTGTGAGGCAATAAAATTTATATTAAGAATCTGTCAATAGAAACCCCAATATCCACAAAAAAAGTGTTTTTCAAGTTGGTCAGCAATAGCTGTGTCAACCGTGTAAATGCAAACGGTTTCGAAACCAATAAATGCAGCGTGCTTAGAGCACAAGAATACTTTTGTATCAGCCTCTTCTTGACTTGTGTGCTGTGATATAATTTCCTCGCTGGAAACCTTATGTATAATATAATTTTTAACATGTTTGCAGAACTTTCCGTTAAACATTTTGTAAGCGTTTCATATTCGTTTCTATCTTTATTAGTCTTTTTGCAATAGCAAATGCAATAATTTTTTTTTGAAACAAGGCAATTATTTTAACTTTGTAGTACATAAAACAATAAAAAACGCAAAAATTGAGGGTAATTTTCTTTGCTTTGCATTTCCCACCCAAGGGTTTTTACCTGATCTATCTCTTTTCCAAGCTGAGATTCTGCGCTCACCATCTACGTCTGCACTCTCGTTGACTTTTTCTGCTCTATTTTTTCGATGTTGTAGAATGTTTAATGTTTTTATATTCACATACTTATCGTAACATCTTTGATAAAACAAGTTGTTGGGCACGTATCAGGTAGAATGTTTATGATTTTAAAGTTATTTCAAATTTGACTATAGTAAAAAAAAAATATTACTATCAATGCTACTTTTTTTTTCCATGCTATTTTTTTTTCCGTACTATTGATTTAGGCAGTACACAAAGAAATAAATTGAGTTGGACATTTAATTTGTGACTTACCTCACATATATACTTCACCTATTTTCAAGTCAGGAGACATATATAATCCTGAAAATTACAGACCAATATCAATTCTTCCTTGCTTCTCCAAAATCTTAGAGCGAACTATGTATAACCGAATTTTGAGTTTTCTAAATATAAATAATATTCTATATAACAAACAATTTGGTTTTCAACCAGGGTATTCAACTGACCATGTCATTATTAATATTGTTCACGATATATTTAAAGCATTTGATGAAAGTAAGTTTACCCTAGGAGTTTTTATAGATCTTAGCAAAGCCTTTGATACAGTAGACCATAACATTCTTATAAAAAAACTCGAAAGTTATGGTATTAAAAGTACATATTTAGAATAGCTTAAAAGTTATCTAAACAATAGAAAACAATACATAGCACACGAAGAAATAAAAACTGAATACTTGACTATTACTTGCGGTGTTCCCCAAGGCTCAATTCTGGGTCCACTTTTATTTCTTATTTATGTAAACAATTTCCATAAGTTTTCAAACATTTTAAACTCAGTTTTATTTGCAGATGATACAAATTTATTTTATTCTAATGGAGATATCAACCTCTTATTTAAAATAGTAAACAAGGAATTTTTAAATCTAGCGGAATGGTTTAAGACAAACAAGTTGTCCTTAAATTTAAATAAAACTAAGTATACTTTTTTTCATAGACTTCACGATAAAGAAAATATTCCATTAAAACTTCCTGATCTTTACATTGGAAACTCTAAAATAGTTAGAGAGTCATCATTAAAATTTTTAGGAGTGATACTTGACGAAAACATGATATGGAGAGAACACATAAGAACAATTGAAAATGAAACTTCGAAAAATATTGGCATACTATACAAAGCTAAGCAAATCTTAAACCAAAACTGTTTAAATGTCTTATATTTCTCACTCATACATTGTTATATAAACTATGCAAATATTGCATGGTGCAGCTCTAATGTAAGTAAAGTTAAAAAATTGCTTAGTAGACAAAAACACGCTGTCAGGATTATTTTGCAGGTCAATTCGCACATTCTAAAGAACTATTCAAAAATTATCACATACTCAATGTTCTTCAGTTAAACCTTTATCAAATTCTTATTTTTATGTATAAACTACATAATAAATTAACTCCTATAATTTTTAATACATTTTTCAATAAAATTAATCACGTGTACCCTACAAGATTTTCAAATTACAATTACGAGCAACCTAAAATACACTATTTGGCTACTAAATTTTCTATTGCCATCAGAGGTCCTAAATTATGAAACACTTTATTAAATAACCAGCTGAAAAATTGTTCTTCACTTTCTCTATTTAAACAAAAACTCAAACAAAAACTTCTTAACGATGTTAATGAATTAAATTCTTTTTAAGATTCTTTTATCTTCTTTTTTTAACAACTATCTTATTAACTAGTCTAACCAATTTAAACTTTCTTTAATTATCCTATTAGCTTATCTTCAGTTTTTAAGTGTGATTGCTTTTTTTTTTCTTTTTTTTTCTTTTTTTGTTTTTAATTTTACAATTTTCTTTTGATTATAGATTAGTAACTGATCTTATCATATTTGTATATATTTGAATATAATTTTTAAATGGTACAAAGTAATTTTATGTTTTATGTTTACATTTTAATGGTTATACACGCTTGCTGATGAAAGCACGTCGGGGTGTAGTGATAAGGCAAATATTGTCTTCTTCTAGCCCCGGTCATGTAGATTTTATTCATATAACACGTTGTATTCTTTTTTTTTTTAATGACAAATAAAAAAAAAAAAGAACTTTCGCAAGCGCATTTTCTGTGAAACCACGCAGTTTCAGTGACAGATCCAGGATTTTTTGGTGTATTAGATAGTTAACTTCCAAACATGGAGCAAACTCCAAACATTTGTATGTTCATACTTATGTCAAATAATAAAGCTTAGCAAAAAATTGCGATGATTGGAACAAAAAAGCCCTTTAGCTTCATTACAAAAACATGCGTGCGAATCGTTTACACTAAAAACACGCTAAACCTA